CACCTCTGAGAGAGCAGCCACCTCCACTCTCAGCCTCCCCAGTTCCCTCGACAGGAGAGGCAACCAATCATCCTAACGCAAAGAACGAACGTTCCAAGCCCCCACCCTTACTTCCTGCTTGAGTTTTAGCCTCAGGCAGTCACTCTAGGTGGACGCCACCTATGCTGTTTCATATAAAAGGGGGCGACAGGCTACGGGACCCATCATCCACCTGCGGGGCTCCCTCAGGCTTTACACCGCAAGCTTCACTCTAGGCTGGCGACTGCTAGAACGCAGGCGGGAGGAGTAGTTCCCGTTCCCATCCTGCGTCCCAACGGGGCCCACAGCCCGCCTCTCTTGCCGGGTGGGAGGAGCATTTCCCTTCCAGCATTTCCAAATATATTTAGCACTGTCGATTGGTTTGAATCTGGAGGGAGAAAGGCCTGGCAGAGAGAGAGACAGTCGGACACACACACACACACACACACACACACACACACACACACACACACACACACACACACACACACACACTCACGAACACAGAGAGAAAGAGTGTGTGTGTGTGTGTGTGTGTGCTTGCCTGTTACGTGCAAGCTATCTGTGCGCGCGTGCACTGCATTTGCTATATTGTGTATGCGGATAAATTTCAGATATAAGTATGGATAGGTAGATAGAGAAAGGGTTATGGCAGTAGTTTACATACAAAGATACATTGACATTGGGAATTTTATTTCCCAAAGAAATATTGTTGCGTCATAGAAAGGGGCTTGGTCCCGGTGAAATTTATCCCTTTTGTTTTTATTCGGATATAAATACACTGCAGACGAATTGTGAATAATCTATCTAATACGATGTAATGCTGAATGGGAGATAAAAGAACAATAAAAAACTGTAGTCGTTCTAAACAAAAGTAACCCAACTGAGAAAGATACGTAAAAATGTAAATGACATGAGGAAAAAAGTGTTTTCGTTTCAAGTAACAACGATTTCATCTTTAAATTCACTCATTTTTTATCCTTTTATATTAAAATTCCGAATATCACAACAAATGAATAAACAGAAAATAGAACATGAAGTGTTTGTTGACATTTCTTCCTTCGCAATCCGTCGACTTTCAGGTTCTCGCACACCGAATGTCAATTTCAACTAAACATATAGTAAAAACAACAACAGAACATTCATGAATCACATGAATAACAATATTCTAGAGTAATTTGTATGTAAACAAACAGAATGGGAAAATCCACACAAGAATGGTCAAAGAATTAACCGAGTGACACAACTAAGTCGACGTTCAGTGCTAGCGGCGGCGGCGACTGCGAGAGAGACGGAGCACTTCTTCTAACACAACATTTCTTAAAAAGAACACGAGCGTCCAGGACCTCCGAGCTATTTTCCACGTTCAGACGCCCCTCCTCCCCATTTCCAAGATGTGTTCAGAGGTGCAGAGTGCGCAGGACTACATGAGGGATCCCAGGAAACATTACTTCTCTCCGTACATGGACAATGGAGGGTGAGATTTTGTAATGGATTTGTTCTCTACTGTTAGTTTTTAAGATATCTGAATATATATTTTCTTTGATATTGTTTGAATAATATGCAGAATGAGGTGGGACCTGAGTTGGGAGATAAAACTTGTATATTTCGATAGAGCCATACAAACCAAGACACTCTTCATCTATGTCAATATTTGTGCAATTGTTTCCCAAAGGTGCAGTAGGTAAATGAAGAGGTGAGGGCCCAATATTGGCTAAGTCAATCATGTTCTTTTCATGACGAGACTAAGCATTGGACTGACCGCAAATCCGATTACTGTGATGTGCGAACGGTAATTTTTCAGTTTCACACAGCCCTCCCACCTCGCAAATATTTTCTTTGAATCCGATGATTAACGCTGTAGTATGTGTGAATCCATTATTGTTTTTCATTGCACAAGGCTGATTCAGGAAATGAATAAAGTTTTTGTTTCGGAGCTGAAAAATGCTTAATAACGGTCTGTTAGCAGTATAGGCCTATAACTCGCTTCATATTAAATACCAAAAATTTCATCAGTATATGGATGAACAAGGAGACTGATTTCCTCATTGATATTGATGTTGAATATTGGATTTACTAAACTTGGAAAAAGATGTCATCAATGCTTCTCGGGATGAAACTAGATTCATTTGATTTGCTGTTTTGGTTTGGTTGATTCTGGTGTTCATATCCATCAGAAATGGCTAGAATGTTTTTTTCCACCACATTCTCTCGCCACTCTTGATATCATGCGTACAATGTGGAGTTCTCAATCTCTGCTGTAATCATGGTACTGATTTTCACTAAATTGTATATCTGGATAAAGACAATATCCCTTTCATAAAAGAAGATCCATAATAGACATAACAATTCTAGATGACACAGGAAGATCCTTATATTTTTCCATAAATAATGTGTCTACCTGTTTAAATACAAAAGTTCCATATATATATCCAGTGTCATTTTCACAGTTAAAAAAAACAACTTGATACCAAACCTTTTACGCTTAGCGGGTATATACTGAACCCATGCTAAGTTCCCCTTGCATCCCATCAGAGACTCATCAATAGAAATATTCTTACCTGGAATATAATTTTCGGTAATTGTTGAAGACCCTAATAAGTTCAAGAACACAAAAATTATCAGTCTGAATGTTTCCTAACTCCATGTGTTCTGATGTTGTTTATGTGTTGTCTTGGCGAAGAACATGTCTCTAAATTTCATTCTGTCTAAAAAAAAAAAACACTTCACATGACTGTAAAAAAAATACATTTGAATTTGTTGACAAGCCATGTCCCAAATAGGTTCTTATGAACACTCATTTATTACACTATATCATGCCATGGGTAGAGGTTTAAGCCGGTCCATCTGTTATGGTAGCATTGTTTACTAAATGCAAGAATTTATGCAACAGATCAAATCTACAACCACTCATTATTTTCCTAAAAAAAGAAGCAACACTTTCACATGATGTAAAATACATTGAATTTGTTGACTTTGAATCAATGTCATGTAAAATAAGTAGGCCTATGAACACCTTCATTTCACTTACATCTGTATCATACCATTTATTTACTCGGTAGAGGTTGAAGACCGCGACGTGATTAGATAGAGGAAAATGGACACCGCTATCTTATAGAGCGGAAGAAATTGAGTAGGACAGGAGTAATCTTAAGATGCACAGGCCTTATATTTACCGTTAAATGGAAAAAAACGGCAGCGCTGTGCGCCTTGCAGAGACCAAGTCCAAATCGACCTTCTGCGGCAGTCGTTTGTTTATGTCTGCATTTTCTATAAACTTGTTTTCTATACGTGTCTAGTTTTATGTATTTCCATTTTCTATACCCGTGTTTTCTCTAAACGTCAAGTTTTCTTTGCATTACTTTCAACCAACGTGGAAGCATTACCGATTACTAATATTTTGATCCATTATTTAATACTATTTCTACTAACATTTCCTCTCTTCCTTTTATGCTTATCAAGTATTGTTCTTTCTAATGTATATATTTTATGATCTATAATTTCGTTATCATAGCGTAGATTCACTGTTAACAATGTAACAACGTTACTGCCTCTTTACTTTAATTGCCTCCCATGTCGGGAAAAAAAATGTTCATTACTTGAAGACTTTCCGGTAAGCTCTTGATGTGTAAGGACCTAGCAATTTTTGTGTGCGGTGTGACATGTGGTAAGTTAAAGATATTTGTTTAAATGTTTGTTTTATATTTATAGGTGTTTTAACCTATCAGCGACGGGTAAAAATTTTGTCAAGTTTACGTATGCACCGGCTTGTTGGCGCGCACCAGCAGTTTCCCCTGTTTGCGCCCGGCTCGATCAGTAGTTTGCGAGCGACATATAGCACCTAAAAGCTTTTATTTTGCTAAAATTTATAAAAATTACTGGAGAAAAACAACCTCCGTCCGACAAGCCAGTAGCACGGGAATGGACATGGCATGATGCCCCCGGCGTTTGGTCCACAACAGCCATGGCATGTACGTACGTGACACCCGGCGCCAATGGGTTAAAGACAATTGAAAAAATAGTGTATCTTTTATCATAGTGGATAAAGTGTTATTCAAACATATTTTTTACGGTAGGTACTGACAGTTCGTGGAGGAATATGCCGGTCGCATGCTCTCATATCGGTAGCCCTTAAATGCCCCAAATGCAACGACATATTCATGTAGATGTAGATGTGAGGGTGCGTCGCGGCCTTCAACAATTACCATTTACTCTTGATTTTGGGATAATGTATCTGCATTTTCATCTAAAAATTGGTTTGCAAATCTGTTAGTTTCTGTCACGATTTACACCACTATCACCACAAAAAGTGAAGGGAGTTCTTTTCCCTTTCTTTGTCCAATCAGCTGGTAAAACAGTTTCATCATCACTCCCTGAAAATTCTTCTTCCTTGCTCTTACTTGAAGATTCAGAGCTATCACTGCCATCATCAAGAAGTTCAACTTCACTGTCAGTACTCTCAGCCATCATAACTTGTATTTCTTTGTCTATAAGGCGCCTTTTGTTTGGTACGCTCATTGTGAAGGGTGGCATGGGAAGAGAATAATAACAACCTCCTTATATGATGAACGCTCACAGTGTACTGAAATTGTTTCCTTGGTACGTTCTCACGAGCGAGCGAAAGTTGCCACAAATTTCAAGATGGACTCAGAATGTTGCCAGATGATGTTCATATAGTTATCTATTGGTATAAACGTTATATGAGGTCGCAGAGCACTTGAAAGTAGCTTTTAAAGTTGAGAGCAGCATATGTTGTCGAGTGCAATGGTGGAAAAAAAACGGAAAGCTGCATAAGCCGCTGTAGATGCTTAACAGGTTAATGAGTGGGAACAGAATTTCTTTATTTCTGATAGGGGACAGGGGAGGCACTAGGGGAATGAGGAAACACTTTTTTGACTCCCTCTCTATGAATCCAAACTCCCAGATATTACTCAGCTCCCATCCACGACCATATTTCTGCTTCCCAAAGAAAGATTTTGTTTTGTCATTCAGTCTCTGTTACCATCCAAAAGACTTTCATGTTGATTATGTATTTGGAAAAGCACTGAAAATAATATAAAACAATATACATACACAAAAAGTCTTATACATACATATATATCGTATACTGATGCATGTATACACAGATTAGTACTGAGTATTTGATGACCTTTTATATATGTTTTGTTTTATTTTATTAAGTATGCCCTCACCCATTATGCAGACTTAGGACTGCCTAGCATATTTTTGATGACTAGGTGGTTTTACATTAAAAAAAATCAAAATTGCACACAAACATTTTCTGGTCTCTCCTTAGTGACCTGGGTGTGGGATAAGTCAAAACAAAATTTTACATTTAGATGTAACTGCCTAAATGTGATAACTTTTGTGATAATATATCCAACACCATTCTCTCTCTCTCTCTCTCTCTCTCTCTCTCTCTCTCTCTCTCTCCTCTCTCTCTCTCTCTCTCTCTCCTCTCCCTCCCTCCCTCCCTCCTCCCTCCCTCCCTCCCTCCTCCCTCCCTCCCTCGACCCTCCTCCTCCCTCCCTCCTCCCTCCTTTCCTTCCTTCCTTCCTTCCTTCCTTCCTTCCTTCCTTCCTTCCTTCCCTTCCTTCCTTCTTCCCTCCCATCATCCCACAGCAACCCAGAGGTATGGGGCACCTGGAGGATACCAACGTAACAATGTTATCTTATATATATATATATATATATATATATATTATATATATATATATATTATATATATATATATATGTAAATAGATAAACGTCCATTTAAAAACATTCATACATACAATTATTCACACATTCAAGCTTCAAACACAAACACGCTTCACCCACTCATGCTCTCCTGCTGCATGATCGGGGCTAGCATACTCTGCCTCCTCCAGTGGTTGGTGCTAGCATACCAGGAAGCTACACGGAAACTTTCCCTTTGCTGCTTTTGAAGTACCCAAAGGCCTTCAACAGAGGTGTCCATGGTCAGAGTCTTCAACAATGAGCCGCCCTCGCTACCGAAATCGTGATCCAAGGATGTAACATGGGCAAGAAACTTGATCTGGTCAAGACCATGAAACTTTAGTTTTGCAATCTTGGAACACAATTTGAAGCGCAAAGAATCATTGGTTTTCTGTGTGTCGCTCTTCTGGAGCTTCACAAGCAATGTGGGATCGGAAAGATCTCCACCTCCTTGCAAGCATTGCTGGGAAAGGTGGAGAAAATCCCTGGCTCCTAGATAGCTCTGGTCAGGTTCTCACCATGAGCCAGAGCCATCTGCAGGTGTGCACAAGTCATGTGGTGGGGAGTGAAATATGGGCAGAGTGGTGATGAAATGCAGCAAGATTGTGAGACTACATTTCCCCCACACCAGTATTGTAGTAATTGCTTAACCGATTCATCATCGCCTGTCAATATTTTCTTGAGGGGATAAGTCTTTTTATTTCTGCATTTAGTAGTGTATTTTCCTACATAAGAAAGCAAAATGGGTTCACTATTTATTATGAACATACAAAGTCCATGAAACCTGAACTGTCAAGTGGATAACCACTAATACAATTTACTTCATTCCACACAGGCTGTTACCTTGTGGCTGAGTGTACATGTATGCGTTTCCTGAAAGTACATAAACACAAAACATTCCTTATCTTTCCTCTTCTATTGTCTTAGGAGATATGTCTCAAACAGACCTGATTTTGCAGAACCACCGTAGCTATTGCAGGAGAGGATTTCGTCATGGTTGCCAGTGATACACGACTGTCCCGAGGATTTAACATTCTCTCGCGTGAACAAGGCAAAGTGTTTAACTTGACTCCCAAGACAATGTTGGCTTCTACTGGCTGTTGGGCAGATGTCCTCACTCTCAACAAAGTATTACAAGCAAGACTTATGGTAAGTAGATAGAAAACTTTTTTTTCTTCTGGAAAAAATGTATATGTATACAAACCCTTTTATGAAGTTATATGTTGATATTTAATGTTTGTAAATTTCTTGCTTCCATAGATGTACTCTCATGAACACCATGATACAATGTCTACCACGGCTGTTGCACAGTTGCTGTCAACGATGTTATATTGGAGGAGGTTCTTCCCATATTATGTATCCAACATGCTTGTAGGATTAGATGAAAGTGGTAAGATAATCTGCTGTTACACCAGTCGATGCTGAATTATTTATTTATTTATTATTATATATATTTTTTAATTATTATTATTATTAATTATTATTAATCGTTATTATTATTCAGATGCTTTTCTGCAATCCAGTTATCATTATTAACTTAACAATGTCAAGATAGCAAGAGTGCATACCATTGTCACCGTTTTCTTTTTTTATCGATTCTTTTTACTCGAATATGTCTCCACACATGCTGAATCACAAGAGTTAATCAGACTACTATTCCTACCTATCTCGCCTTTTTGCCCTTTTCGTTGATTTTTGGAAAGACTTAATTTTTCATTGCTCGTAGTAGTATTAATTAAATAAAAACCATGCTGTCAATAATAATGACAAATATTGATAGTATTGGAAACATTTTTCCCAAAAACTCAAGAAAGGGGAAATCTAATGAGGTCTTATAGGCTAATAATTTCCTTGGTGACGTCACATTTCCAGCAGCAATGGGTTAATGAAAGAAAAATCCACTATTTGTACTTTTTTTTTTTTTTTTTTTTTTTTTTTTTTTTTTTGGGGGGGGGGTGCATACTGTGTTTTTAGTTATTGAATTAATTGCAATAGTGTATTTTGTTGTTCATAATTAATGAGATAGTGTGCCTTGGAATACTGACCAACCATCCATTGACCTTAGAGTTTGAATCTGAAAACTTATTCAGTTCAGGTATATTTGTGAAGTCAAGCTTCACCTGAGCCTTATCAATTTTTTTTATTAAGTAATTTATTGGTTACTTTTAGCAAGGATTAACAATCATAACCATAACTTGGTATAAAAAGAAAACAAAAAAACAGGCATTTGATATTTGTGTTGCATCATATTAGAGATAAGGCAGCAGGTATTTTATGTTAGTACACATTTCATTAGCTGCAAGAGTCAGAAAAAGAATCGTGATATGTGGAGGTGTATTTTGAATGGAGGCAGTGATTATTTTCCCCATGTAAGCATAGCAGCTGAGTGAATGGAGACCAACCCACGGCAATCAAGATATTTTGTCAGTCTATGGCTGGTTAACTGTTGATTTGGAATTTGATATGTAATTTGAAGATATTGAAAATTTACTTTTCTTTTATGTGTAAACAAAATTAAGAAACTGAAATCACAGTGGACATGGGCATGTAGGATGCCTTACTGGCATCAAAGGATTTTGTGCTGAGGATTTATAACTAATCCCCCCCCCCCCTCCTCTCTCTCTCTATTACCAGGTAAGGGAGTTGTTTATCACTATGATCCAGTCGGCCATATGGAAAAGCTGACTTTCAGTGCTGCAGGAGCATCTGTGTCCCTCATTCAGCCTTTCCTGGACAATCAAGTTGGTGCCTTTAACATGGAGGGTGTGGATCCTCCTAAAATGACCAAGGTAAGGCAGAGCGAAAAAAGATCTGGGGTAGTATGTAGATGTTGATGAGATATTTTCCCTATGTGGGATTTGTCAGCACAAACAGTAAAATATTTTAAATGATGGAAAATTGCTTAAGCAAAAAATGCTTGTATACTGACATCAAATTAATTTTAGCAATGTCATAATGAATTAATTTCTTATGTTAGAAGTTTAGTATGTTAAGTGAAATTATTGGAACTATAATTCTTTGATATCATCAGATATTGCAACATTTCATAAATGATCAAGAAAAATGTATAATTTCCTATTCCTGCTCTGTAATCTAGTTATTAATCTGTAAAATACACTCTCTTTTCAGGAACTTGCTCGCCAGCTGATTCACGATTCCTTTGTGTCTGCTGCTGAGCGTGACATTAATACAGGAGATGGCATCATCATTTACACCATAACTAAGGATGGAACTGCAGAAGAAAAAATAAAGTTGCGCATGGACTAGATGTATAGAGCCTTGTTAATTTTCACAGAAACCTTAAATTGCATTTGGATTGTGTGTGGAATCGCATTATTTTCCAAAGCCGTAATTACTTTATTAGCTGAATGCAATGTATTATTCATGTCATTTAAAGTGAAGCATGTTTATTTCTTTACATGGATGTAGGTTTCAAACATTTTGAATAAAAATTTAACAAATATTTTTTGTTTATTTAAAAATTCATATATACAAAGAAGAAAATCATATACTGGGTAATATATGGAAACCTTAGAGTAGAGGAAGATTTCCTGTTATCTTATCAACAGCTGCTACAGATGCAGGTCCTACAGCTAAGACTGTTGCTGAACCCCTTTCCACCTGAGTTTTTCCAGCATCATAAATAAGTGTAGTTTCTATTCCTGCTGCCTTGGCCAACTGTCAAAACAAAACTAATGTAGTAAAAAGCAATGAATACATTTCTTTATACAGATATCTACCACTACCACCAACTTCAGATGTATATACAAAATCTCTACTATTACCACTAATTGCAGATATTTGAGAAATAAATAATTTATATATTTCAAATTATTCTCATCAAACCAGCTCTACCTTCTACCTGAAGTATGATGAGGAATGGTACCAAGAATTAATGAAACACAAATGTGGAGAAAATTTACTGACCTGTGACAAATTGTTTATGTGGTTAAGGTCAGTTGCTTTTACAACAACTTTAGGCTGACCAAGGTCCTCCCACGCTTGCAAGATGTGAGGGTTTAGCTTCTGCATTTTTTTGTAGGATGCTAGTGTGGCATGGCTACACTGAGCTGCTGTTTTCCCTGGTTTATGATAGAAAAAAAAAGGGAATAAGATATTTGATGATTAGAAACCAAGTTTAAGCTGATGCACCAAGGCAGTATGTGTGGGGCTCTCATTAACACATGCAGAAAAATATTACACCATAGCTTAGCCCTAATATACCTTAAAAGTAATGAGAACGCACAATAGCCTACAGTTGG